GAGTCATTAGGTCAAAAAATATCAATGGTATCACATGCTTACAAATCAGAGTCATTGATCTTTTTTGATTTAATGGCTCTCAGATGAGGTGTAAAATTTCAAATTTGACACTGGTGTCAAAGGATTTTACCTCATATATATATATATATATGGAGAAGGATCCATTGACAAACTTTTTTTACAAATTACACTAAATATGATCGGTCATACACTCTTAATTGAAGTATGATCGGTCATACTTAATGTAGTTTGTAAATAAAACATTTGTAAATATAACCTCCCACAAATATATATATATATATATATATATATATATATATATATATATATATATATATATATATATATATATATATATATATATAGGGCAGGTTACGTTTACAACTTTTTTTGTTTACAACTCTTACAACCTCAACTATGTTCTCCTGGGAGTACACTCTCAAGTAGTGTACTCTCAGGAGAACATAGTTGAGGTTGTAAGAGTTGTAAATAAAAAAAGTTATAAACGTAACCCTCCCCTATATGTATGTGTATGTATTATGTACGTAACCCTCCCCTCTCCTGGTTAGCCTATTAGCCTGTTTTAAAAAAATTAGACAACAAAAATTTATCCAAACAAAATATACAATCAACAACACTAGTAATTCCATAAATATTCATAAATTCAATGTATTTCCAAACAGCATAATATAGAATAAAATAATTCAAAAAATTTGTTTTACCAATAAAATGGGGTGAAATGGATTGAGGAGAAAGAGAGGGTTATTACAAGTAGTATAAAAATATAAAATAAAGTTAAAAAATAATATATTAGGCCAGCTTGAGAGGCTCTAAGGCCGAGCTTTTGAATTGGAGCCTGAGGCCTTTTTATTAAATGAGCTTATACAAGTTCTAGTCTGGTAGCAACAACCAATTTTAGACATGTAAGCTCAGACCTTCACGAGCCGAGCCAAAGGCCCCTGGTTTCTTTAACACCCGTACTCATTGGTATAGTGTCACAGTTAGACTAAATCTCCTAGTAGCAGCTCTAGATTGAACAAACGGGTTTGCATCGTGTACTATAATTTTTTTCCAAAGTGTTTGATATAGAGTTTATATAACGGTTTAATTTTGACACATTAATCATGCAAAATTTGTTTCATTATCCGACCTGGTGGTATCTATTCAAAAATTATAATATTTTGGTATTATATTGATTGATTAATTAAAATATAAAAATTAATCATTAAACTTAAACTATCTATATATACAAAAGCACATTGCTATGCATGTAGTGTGTTTAACCATTGATTAATTAAAATATAAAAGCATAAATTAAACTTAAACTATTTATATATGCAAAACTTATGTAGCACCTACACTTCGAAAAGTCTGAAGTGTCAGTGTTCGACATTCCCCGATATCTGGATACTCCGATATCTATAATATTTGAAATTTTATTGCATATAATGAAAAAATTTAGCGATATTTTACCAAATTGATGCAATAAAAATTAAAAATGGATATCAAAAAAATCTTACTGAAGTATATAAAATATTTTTAATTTAACAATATAATAGAAAATATTATATCTTATGTTTTTTTTGTAAAATTGATGGGTATTATAAGTTTAGTTTCATTTTTTTATTTAATTATTAAATGTTAAATATAATATACACTACATAAATTAAAAATATTATTTAATATAAAAATATTTTCTAACATATCAAAATTTAATATTTTTTAAAATTAGAGTACATACCTTCTTCGGTCCTAAGCAAATTTCACGATGCCCGCTTTAGTCCCTAGCAAATAAAAAGGTTATTCGTGGTCCCTAAGAAATTCAAAATGGATCCATTTTAATGCTTTTGAGGGACTAATGTGAGTCTTTTTTGAATTTATGAGGGACCACAATTTCAACTAAATTGGTCCATTTTGAATGTTTTAGGGACCACAAATAGCCTTTTTATTTGCTAAAGACTAAGGCTGCGCATGACAATCATTCTATTTCCTGGCACTGTTTCTGAAAAGAAATGATTCTTTTTTATTTCTGTGCCTTGGAACAATTCTGAGAATCAGAATTACGTTTGTTAACATATTTTATTTTTGTTCCAAGAATCAGAATTACGTTTGATAACATTTTTTTCTTTTTCTGTTTTTTTTTTCTTTCTGTCTTCGTCTTCTTCTTTGAAATTAAAAATCCTATGAAGAATGGATTTAAAATTTGTGAGCTATAAAAAATCATTCTTCTTTCCGTTTGTCTTCGTCTTTTTGTTTTTATGCTTTCATTGGATTTAAAATCATTCTTCTTTCTGTCTTCGTCTTCTTCTTCTTTCTTTTTCTTTTTATTTTTGTTCTATAATGGATTTAAAATTTGTGAGCTATAAAAAATAAAAATCCTATGAAGATGGACTGCACTTTTCCAGATCCAAGGTCGAGCTATAAAATAATTCACTATATTAAATTATTTTTATTTCAAGAGACTGCACTTTTCAACGGACTGCAATATAATAAGATGAATAAATTTGTTTCAGATGTGTATTCCTTCAAGAGCCCTAACCCCAATTTCAAAAATTCCAAAATTTGCAACTTATGTGTGAAGGGAGGGATTTGTCGTCCGATGATATGTTTGAAAGCAGTGATGGTTCGATGTTGATGTGTGAGCGGGTACGGAGTCGTACGAGTGTGAGAGAAAACTGATTCTCTTTTTGTGCCCGGGAATAGAGAAGTAGAAATTTTTTGATTCTTTTTTTTGTTCCCCAGCATAAAAATAAAACTGGTTCATCTCGGAAACAAAAAAAATAAACCGATTTTATCAAATACAATTCTCATCCATTTTTGTTCCCGAGAACAAAAAAAAAAAAAAAAACTCATTTCGAAAAAGTTGTCTTGTATACCCTAAAACAGATATTGTAAAATTTAATGAGGATCAACAAAACAATATTTACATTTAAAATTAATATATTGAAATATCGTATCGTATCCATGATCAATAAAACTACGTTGCTATTGCTATGCATGCAGTGTTTGTAACCACATTATACCTTAGGTACAAAAAAGATTCAGAGAGAAACACGATGCGTTCAGAATGTACTTGGACTGACAAATTATTTATGTTCAAAAATTAACCAACACGAAATTTAATGACTTGCACACGTTTATGCAAACGAAAAAGCTGCTGAAAATGGTAAAGTTAATTACCATTATTTTGCAATTTGGAAAAAGACAAGCAAAACAGTTAGCAGTGTAAGATGAACACGCATTGCAGACTCAGCTGCAGTGTAGTGTAGGAGACTAGGAGGGTCCGCAATTGCGCCTCACCGCCACCTCAATCCACCTCGAAAAACGTTCTCATAGAGAGCTCACTGCTTCTTCAGATCCAACTCTTCACGTTAGAAATTTCAATTATTTTCTTTTATCCAATCGGATTTGATATATATCTTAGTGTAGGTAATTATTATTTTTTACTTCAATTATAGTTTTTATTTTTAATATCAAATTTAATTATCTCTTTGATATTAGTGAGTATTTTGAATATTCTTATAAATTTTAACTCTTTGAATCGTTTATAGAATAAATTTTGAATCAGACTTAGGCTCGTTTGAATGAATTTTTTTTTCTTGAAAAAAAACACTTCTTATGTTTAATGCATTTGGATGTTGCTTTTAAAAAAAACAGAAGTCATAAAAAAGTCAAAAATTTACTTTTTTCAGAAACTAAAAATTTTAACTTTTAAAAAACAAAAGTCAAAACTCAATTTTTTTTTTCAAAATCTAAATATTTTTATAAAATTATGAATAGCTTTAATTTTTGTAAAAAACACTTTTAAATTAAGAAAGAGATAAAAGTTACCTTTTAGATAAGACAAAACAAACGGGCTCTTAATCACAATTAAAATTTTTTATCATTGTCAAAAATATATTTGGTGATATAGATAACGAGAAATTTATTATATTGAGAGCATATAAATATTTCTCATCGATTGCCCTTTTATTATTTGGTACTATATTTTGTTTGCTTCTTTTTGAAAGGTATATGTAATTAGGTACACTCCTCACTCTTATCTCATCTTTGCCTTTGCGGCTTTTTCCCGCCGGTGACGAAGGTAAGCTTGAAGCCTGTAATGGATTTTTCTCCCAGTGTTGTTCTGACAAGTTTCATGTGAATATGGGGGCCACTCGTGGCTTTATCAATGACAGTAGTAAAATTTCAAGGCAAAGCAAAGAAGCTAGCTTTCAGTCAAAAGGAATTGGCACATGTAAGCTTTGAAACCGGATTCATGCACCAGCATTCAACCAATCTTTCTAACTCTATTTCTATGTGGTCCCCGCTCATTGTCAACCGTTGATCTTAAATGCTTCAAGCATTGACCTTTCACCGTAGCTATATAAACAGATCAACGGTGGAACAGAAACAGAAACCCTTCCTAGAGGCAACCCCACACGTCATGGGCGGTTTCCATCGGGGATAATTAATAAAATTGTAAATCAATCATAAATGAGCTTCATAGATTTTCTTTACGTTTCCAAACATAAAATATTCCTAAATATTACCGGTTCAACTAGTACGGCCTAACTTAACTAATGGTTTCGAATTGAAATGTTATTAAATGTGGTCTCGAATTAAAATCGGCATAAATACGCTTATATTAAAAATTTGATAAATATTACTGTCCTTATAATCCTATTCGACTCAAACCGAATGAATCGAATAATTGATGTGAAAAAATTAAAAATTAAAAATAATAAATATTGCTCACAAGTTGCTATAAAAGCTCTTCCACTTAGAGTGACATGCTAGATGATGTTGTTGTTGGTCGGTTGCAGAGATAATAATCTATCTATCCTCTGCACTCTCATTCTAGCTACTATTTTATTCTTTCTTTCTTTCTTTCTTTTTTCTACTTATCAATCTCTCTGATACAAGCCATACTTTCACAGCTCTTACCCGTTTCCTGAACCCTCCCATACTCTGTTCCTCTCTTTTCCCTTCTTCCCCATTACGCCAAACTCTCATCTCTCATGGACGTGGACATAGTGAAAACTTCGGCTAGTGACAACAGCAGCATGGACATGATATCAATGATGATGCAAATGGAAAAGTACCCTGAATTTTGTGAACCTTTTTATAACAACAACACTCCCACTTACCAAGAAAACGAGTTCACACTTGGTGGAAACACAACCAGCAATAATATTTCCACAACTACTTCTGTGCCAATATTTAACGTTAACCCAAATGTAACTCCACCGACTTTGATTGATCCACCAGTACCGTCCAATCTCAATTTCAACCCTATCCAACAACAATCTATGACAACAACGTTAACACCAAACCTTCAACAACCCAACGCTTCATTTCCCTACCCATCAGAGAAAAAGAGTTCTATGACCGCCATGAGGGAAATGATTTTCCGAATAGCGGTGATGCAACCGATTCATATAGACCCTGAATCTATAAAGCCACCGAAGCGAAGGAACGTGAAGATTTCAAAGGATCCACAGAGTGTGGCTGCGAGGCACAGAAGGGAAAGGATAAGCGAGAGGATAAGGATCCTTCAGAGATTAGTTCCTGGTGGAACGAAAATGGACACTGCTTCTATGTTGGATGAAGCCATACACTATGTGAAGTTCTTGAAGAAACAAGTGCAGACGCTGGAACAAGCAGGGGCAAGTAGTAGCATTAATGGTGGCGTTGGAATATTCCATGGGATGCAGAACTCCAATGTGAATTATTCTGCTTTGTTGATGAAGGGTTGTCAACCTTGTCAAGTTGTGGGTTCTACTTCTACTTCTAGACAATTGCTTAGCTTAGAGAGAGCCTGAGAAGAAGCAAGACAATGAATTTGCTTGTTTCTCGTGATGAAACACAAGGAGTTCTCACTTTAATTAGTGTTGATTGGTGCATGGTTTGGACCATGGTTTCCTATGAATTTCTTTTTCTTTTTCTTTTTCCTGTCCCAATTAATCCCTTTCTTTCCTATTGAAAAATGACCATTAAAAAAATAATTAAGAGAGAAAGTGTTTTTATTTATTTATTTACTCAGATATCATTTTTAATTGGAGAGATAAGAAAATAAATAATAAAGGAAACAGATGATTTGAATTAATGCTGAATGAATATGTTAATATTTTTCTTTCATTCTTTTTAATCTTATATGAGTCTGCATTGCACGCCCTCTCACGTCTGTCTTATTAGAGAAAGAATGTTAGTTGTACAAAAAAATAAAATAAAATAAAAATAAAAGATAAAAAATAAAAACGAAGAATGTTGGAAAAATAGTTTGCATTTTAATTAAGACGCAAACTTAAAACAAGCAAATCTCTGGGAAGATCTAGACTCTTACGATCATTTTATTATATATACAACACATTTTTAAAATGTTATTTTATTTCCTAAATACCCAATGGATAAATTTTCCATGTTTTTTGGCCTGCTGTATCACGTTAGAGTTCACATGCAAATGCACCTGGGTGCTTTATTTCATCCTTGCTGATTGAAAGTAATTTAAATGGCGCAGGATGCATGCATATTATTATTTTCATAATCTGAAGTAAGCCTTTTGCCGAGTTTGCTTTCTTCCGTCTTTTAGTAGGCTAATTATAAATGAATGATCAGGTATTTAGACGATTTAGAAGCGGAAAAAACTTAACTTTTGACAACAAGAAGGATCTGGATATAAGAGGATGAAAGGAAGAAAAGTAAAGATTGCCATTACATCTAGAAATTAAAAAACGTCTTCCTGTTATCAAAAAAAAAAAAAAAAAAGTCTTCCTACATTATACCTACTCTCTTGCTGGCAGTCCTTTTGTCATATTTTTTTCCTTAAATTCTAGTTATACCAATTAAGCACATCCTATAGATTTTAGGACAAGAAAAATGATACGAGCAACTAAACGAGGCAAAAATTAATTGTTGTCAGTCCCCATAAAAAATGTTAAAGGCGATTATTATGAATTCTATATAAACATAAAAGTTAATGTTAAAATAAAAATAGGGGTTTTAGGCCCACACTTTGTAAAGCAAAAAAAAAAAAAAAAACTATGGTACGCAAAACGAATCTCTATAACATTACACAATCACTTTTTCTACAACATAACTCTTATAAAACTCATAAAAATATCACATCATTCGTAACTTTTTGTCAAAACATATTTCGTGCAAAATAGGGGTATAAATGAATCAGGCCAAGTCAAGTTTTAGCTTAAATGGACTAAATCATTGTAAAAATATTTTAAATATTACCTGGTTTGTTAGCCTAATACAAGCCACGTTATAAGTTTGGCTTCATTTGTTTTTAAAAAAATACAAAGCTTGACTTGATCTATAAAGCCTTAACATATTGTATTATGTAAAATATAGATTATGATTATTTTATTTATTTTGTTTCCTTTATATGTTTAAGTTGATGGGAAGTCAATATGGTATAATAATTGAAGCCACACCACAACTTAAAATGTTATTTTATAAAAAATAAAAAGATATTATTTTATTAAAAAATATAAGCCAGGTTTGGAGGCTTAGAGGCCAAACATTCCAAAATAAACTTGTGGCCTAATTTTTAAAAAGGAATTTTAATGAGTTCAAATCTGTATTATTTTAAAACGGGTCAAGCCAAGTTAGGTCAAAGACAAATTGGGCTGTAAATCTCGGACAAGTCACTTTACTCATTTATTTACATAAATCCCAAACAAGTCATTTAACTTATTTACATCCCTAGCCGAGGAATATCTCAACTCACGAACTAGCATCCACACTTTTGTGAAATGGGACAGACCGTTCCCATTTCCTGAAATGAAAATATATTTTGCATACTATCAAATAATAATTTCCCATTTCCCCCCTAAATATATTGTTAGAAGTGAAGGGATTCCATGACAGGAAAAGGAAAATTAAGGGCTACAGCTTATAAAATAATTGCGCTCCATCGATACTTAATATTAGCCTATTTATTATGATTGATTCGCGCTTAACCTCGGCTTTGGGCTCTCCCTGATTACCTAACAGTGATATTAGGCCAATGGTTAGTCCAGACTAAATATTTGCATATGATTATTGATATTCGGGTTTGTATCTCTCATATCCATGTTATGAAGTCAAGAACTGACCACTCTTAGTTGGTAATCATTAAATACTCAAAGAATTTTTCGCTTGAGATGAAATTGACAACTGTAAGATGTTAGGACTCACACTTAATAAAGAGAATGTTGATAATTTAAGTAAATGATAAAATCGGTATTAGTTGGAAATAGGCCAAACAAAGAACATATAATAATAATAATCTCCAGAAAAAAGAGCATATAATAATAATAATAATAAAAGTCACACAGTCAACGCCTTAAAATTTTGAGCTAAAATATAAATTTTAATCCCACTTATTATTGTTTAATACATTGATGGTAGTTACAGTTACCTTGTCATGGGTTTCCCTGGCCTACTAACACATATGATATAAAATTTGACAAATTTTTCCGTCGATTTGCTTCATTCATATAATCACCGTTAACTCTTTTCTAAGTTCATTTCATAATGGCTAGCTGTATACATTAACTCAGTTTGAACACATTCCCTTCTAATTTGTAACACAGGCCTTGTGCTAACATAATATAACAAATTACATCATCGCAAAGCGTTACTTTTTAAAAATATATACCACATATGAGAAAGTAAATCTGAGCCAAATTACATGGTGAAAACATGTAAATTAAAGTGCAATTAGGAGCCACTCATGTGAAAACTCATCGTATCATAATATATAAAATGGGTGATTACGTGTTAACGAATTAATGTACAAAGATTGAAAATAATATTTCCGCAAAAGACAAACTAAATTTAAATGAAACTATGAATAGTAAAAATTGTAAATTAGTACCCATTGTCTAATTCTAATTAAAGTTCCTTCTGACTTCCGACATTTTATTGATATTCTTCACATGAACTTATACACTTGTAATTAATAGCATCTTGCTTTTGCTATTCGTCATAATTATTTATGTTTCATTACAATTTTTATTTTGAAATAGAAATTGTCTCAAGCAATTTCATAAATATATAACACCAATCTTGCAATGAGTAGTGTTCAGAACTCTGATTTCCCTTTTTAATTTCTTGATAAATTGAAGAATATTAATAGTCTCATATTTAATTATGAATTCTACAAAATATTTGGTCGTGGTACGGATAGTTATTATCCATTAGTTAAGTCTGATTTGCTTCTAATTAATAAACTGAATTTCAAGTCTTGTATATAATATACAGCAGAAAAGTCGAATTGTATTTATAATTAAAATATGGATTGCTAATAAAACACTGGCCTTTATTATATATTATCTTCTCATGTCTCTATTGCACCAGCCACACCCATACTACTTTAACTGGTGATTTAGAAGAGAAGGGGCCAAGGAGGGTGGAAGTAGGTTGCCTCCTGCAGCAAGGTCGAATAATTTAGGTGTTCTTGTCTGAAGGATCATGCCTAAAAAAAAACCATTTTTTTATAATCTTCTCTGTGATAAAATCTACAAATAAAAAAAAAAAAAGGAGGGTGTAAGATATGGACAAGCCATATCTATAGCGAATTCGGCCCATGTGAGATATTCCACTACGGTCCCAACACACCCATTGAGATGAGATATTTAATTGTTTATCTATTAGAGAATAAAGACTAAAGAGCAAATGCCATCTGCGACCTGCAATCATCTGCATGCATTATCTCTACGCATTCTATGGTGCATTGTATCCTTCTCTGACAAATTCTTCCTTCTTATCATTCCTTTCCAATTCATATAGCCATCTTCTAGATGTCTTCCCCAACCACCCACTATCTAAATTTTCCACTTGAGATAGGGTCAAAAGCTTAATATTGTTCTTTGTGTAATGTACACCTATCGTCATAAAAAGTTAAAACGCTTCTAACTAATTAACACATCATATATGAAAACTTAAGTATTCACCTAGCTGAAGAGATAATGAGAATTCGTTTATTTTGAAGTGAATAATATATAAAAATAGAAAAAACAATTCAACTCTACTGTTCATGCAAAACAAAACAAAAGACTTTATTTATTTTTTTAATATTGTGGGCCTAGCCCAAAAAACAGAAACAAAGTTATCCAGGCTCAAGCAGCTTAGACCGAGAAACAAAGAGACTATGAGCCTATTTGAAATCTATTTTGAAAAAAAGTTTTTTGATTTTCAAAATAAAAAAATTAGTTTGATAAGGTCTGTTTTGTAAAAAAAGTTTTAAAAATTATAACTATTTTTTTATTTTTAGAATCAAATTTCGAAAACATATCTGACTTGTTTTTGTTTTGTATTTTGACTTTTAACTTTCAAAACAAAAAAAAACATAAAATATATATTTCATTAACTATTCTACAAAACAGTTTTAAGAACAAAAAATCAGAATACGATCAAACACACCCTATTATTTTCTTGAAGTGGACCAACTTGGATCTCCTTTAATTCTCAATTCGATTGTGGACGTATATCCCGTAGTTTTTTTCGCACGTCGAGATCAGTCATGTGGATGGAAGCTTTTCTTTTATTGTCTCATGGGAGATGGTATCTCAGTTTCCTCAGGATGCTAGCTTTTAGGCTCATGTTGAAACAACTTCAAGCTAACTTTTGATCTCCCTTGATATCAATAATTTTACCATGAGGATTTTTGAACTTGGTAAGTAAATAGGGCATAGAGATGATTTCCCCTAGACCAACTATTCGTGGTCTACCAATAATAACATTATAAGTAGATAGACAATCAATGATGTAAAAGCAAACCATGATGGTTTTTGCGGGTGGGGGGTGATCCCGAAAGTGATTTGTAGCT